CAAATCAGGTGTGTCGCTTTAGAATCGCCTTTCCTTGTGACACGCCCACTCGTCCGCAGGGACCCCTACTTGGGTTGTGGTGAAACAGACATAGGAGGCTGAATGCAAAGTGATATTTATTTACAGTGAGGTGGGTCCGGATCCAAAGCTGAAAAGGAAGGCAACTGGTAAGTATTGGTGGAGGATTTTGCAGGTGAGAGTGAGGTCTTACAAATTCCAGATGGAGGCTGTGCTCGGAGAGAGGACCAAGTTCTTCAGGTAAGTGTTAATTGAGAGGCAGACAGGCTTCAGGCAGACTTAGGATTCAGGTGAGTGAGCTCTTACAGGTTTCCACAGGCAGGCAGCAGAGATCCACAGGTGAGTTTTTCTGGAACATACTAGAGGTTCGCAGKTTARTTGTCTCAGATAGTAAACAACTATMGAGCAGCCAGGAGATGTACTATTGACACACGATGCTCCAGCAAAGATCTACTGCCTAAATACCCAGTGAGCTCAACAGGGGGCTGCGCCTCATCAGTGTTGGCCAGTCAGGAGCACAGCAGCAAACACACAGAATGCCTCAATGACAGATGTGATGGTATGGTGTTTCTGGTTGAGCTAAATRTTTTGATGCATGAAAGACTAAAATRGCAAAGTATGCAGAAGTAGTTTGAGTGTAAAAATATACAGAAGAAACTCSAAACAAGAAAAACATTTATGTGAATGCTGATTATATGGTGTCATAAGAGATAAGAAAAAAAAACTTACTGGCATTGTTCTAAGACTGGCACTGAGCCAAAACATTGGCCATAAAAGAAATTACCCTTTTGCTTTATCTCCACTATATACCCTCTCCCCTCCTGCACCAGCAGTTATCTGAGTWATTATTTTGACCGATGAGGGGGTTTAGATTTGCCTTATGATCAATTTGACTGTAATAAAGCTGGGGCGGGGCCAATGACCCTTTATACCAAATAATAAAGCTCATAATAACATTGTTTTACAACATACACAAATCTGCAACAGCAAGGCTTACAAGCTTCGGCACCACAGAGAGTGACTATGTCATTTTGAAGTCCATCAAACTGATATGAAGTACAACAAACCAAGAAAACAAAACATTCAGCTACTAATGATAAAACAATGCAAATTCAAAGCAGTTCAGCACCCTGGATAGTGATCGAATCATTTTGATACCCGCTTTTATCTATTTCAACTCAGGGCCTGTATCAGTAGCTAAAGTTCAGTAAAACACAATTTCAAAAAGAAGTACTTTAGGCCCACTCACCACTATTGAAGGGCATGATGAGCCTTGCGTTCTGCAAACATGTCCGTAATGCTCTGTATTTTCTTTGATCTCTCATTCTCTATGGACAACATGACAAGTCCACTCAGTCTCTTCTGTCCCACTGTGTTCCTCAAGTGCACACATGTCAAGTTGTTTATATTGTTTGTAATGTTTTCCCTTTTTTTGCAGGTATACTGATGTTAATAGACCAATCTCATGGATTTTTTTCAAGTTTTACAGTGGGGGGCATGCCACCCCAGCCCCCCCCAACTACAATTTTTTTTTTATAAATTACATGTTTGCAAATTACAAACACCCTTTGTGACTTAAGGTGTCACACATTCTTAGCAGAATATAACTATTTGTCCAGATGATATTTATATGAACCAAATTTGCCCAAGAAGCCAATAGATATTTCAGAAGACATGTTGCTTGTTACTTAAGCCATAAATATCAGTATACTGTATTTATTTCAGAAAAAACTATTTCACTTAACCAGTTTTCTCCCTCTTGTCGGCTCATCRTTATTACAGGCATTGTTACAAGATGTCCTCTTGAGCTAAAAATGAAGAGAAGGAAAGAAGGACAGGAGTGGTAYGGAAAGATATGTTACCAAGATCATGAAGAAGAGCTAGACAATCCTACAGTTGTGGAGAAAAAAATAAGAGAAGGTATGAAACTCATCACTCTTTAATATCTRTTGAAAATAGGCTACTGCAAAAGTGATCTTGCAGGTTGAACAGAACGTGGATTTGTTTTGTCTCCTCAGCTCAGGATGAAATGGCCGGAGTGGGAGTGGGGATCAGTGACGACCTCATCAGTCTAGAAATTGCTTCYCCTGAGGTTCCTGATCTGACTCTCATTGATCTGCCGGGCATYGCCAGAGTGGCTGTGAAGGGACAACCAGAAAACATTGGTGATCAGGTTGGCTAGTTCAGTGTTTCCTAAACCTAACCCTTTGAAAGATAAAAAAATGTTTGTGGGAAGAATGTTTGCATTTTTAATAGAAAATAATTAAAAGTAACAGGGGCACAAATTTATATYAACATAGGTCTAGTGTCAAAAATTTGATTTGCTTTAATGTCATTCAAACATAACATCAGGGATGCAATGTAGAACGAAATGCAGTTAAGATCACCCATTCAAGAAAGACACGCATGACAAAACATGGGGGAACAGGTGAACAGGTCATGCGCAACAGGGTCGTGCTAGGTTTTTGCAGCTTGGAAAGACACAATAGGGAGATGAGTTAAAAAAATTTGCTCTGATCCTATGTTTACATCATAAACACAAAATCATATGCACACAAAAAAAAACACTCGCTACAGAGCAGATAGCTGGGGCTGGGTTGAGGTTGGTTCTCTGTGCTGGAACCCGATCCTAGACCGTCAGAGTCTAGAGACCAGATCTTATCGTCTCGTGCATGGTTGACCAGAGTTCAGAGTTTCCCCTCCTCCTCGGCCTTCAGACCAGATCCGACACGAGTGTTGCGGGGGAAGGGAAGGGAATCAGGTCCTTGTTCACATATAATCCTGGGGAGTTTAGATAGCTTGGCAGTCGAGGCCAAGCAGCTGGGAGTCAAATAGATAACACAGTTGTTTTGGGA